AATAAACAGGAGTTTTTGCGTCGGTATGTGACAATGGATGAAACTTGGATCCACTATATCCACCACTATACTTCGGAATCAAATCGGCAGTCAGCTGAGTGGAGAGCAGCTGGTGAAAATCGTTCGAAGCGACCAAAAACTCAACAGTCGGCCGGGAAGGTTATGGCCTCCGTATTTTGGGATGCGCATGGTATAATATTCATCGATTACCTTGAAAAGGGAAAAACCATCAATAGCGAATATTACATAGCGTTATTGGAGCGTTTGAAGACAGAAATTGTAAAAAAATGGCTTCATATGAAGAAGAAAAAAGTTCTCTTTCATCATGACAATGCACCGTGTCACAAGTCGATGGTAACGATGGCCAAATTGCATGAGTTGAACTTCGAATTGCTTCCGCACCCACCGTATTCTCCAGATTTGGCCCCCAGCGATTATTGACTGTTCGCAGACCTCAAAAAGATGCTCCAAGGAAAGAGATTTAGCTCCAATGAAGAAGTGATTGCCGAAACTAACGCCTATTTTGAAACCAAAGATAAATCGTTCTACACGGCTGACATAGAAAAGTTAGGAAAGCGTTGGAATGAATGTATCGCTCTTGAAGGAGACTATATCGATAAATAAAGAAGAATTTTGGCAAACAAATGTTGTTTTAGTAGTTAGTCCCGGGACTTATTGATCGATGTGTTAAGTGAGCTACCTTATGATAACATTGACTTTGACCTTGACCTCTATTTTCAAGGTCATTTGAAGGTCAACTTGCGTTTTTTTAAATGGGAACCCTTATTTTTTATTACACTGTTTTCTTCTACTAGTTAATTTGAACAACTTTTGTTGAAAACATCTTTTTATTTATCTAATATTTTTTGAGATATTTGAGGAAAACTTGATAACTTTTTTTCAATATTTAACTTACGATATCTCGTTAATTATTTGTCGGAAGAGAAAGTGGTAGTAGACTTTCTTGCTTTATTTAGTCTCAAGAATACATTGTTACAATAGCACCCTGATTTTTGTTAATTTGATGATTCTGAAATTTCCAAAAATCAGTAAATTAACAAAAGTCAAGGTGCTATCGTAACAATATATTCTTGAGACTAAATAAAGTAAGAAAGTCTAGTACCACTTTCTCTTCCGACAAATAATTAGCGAGATATCGTAAGTTAAATATTGAAAAATTGAATATTGAATATTGAAAAAAGTTATCAAGTTTTCCTCAAATATCTCAAAAAATATTAGACAAATAAAAAAATGTTTTCGACAAAAGTTGTTCATACTAGTAGAAAAAAAACAGTGTAATAACAAATAAGAGTTCCCGTTTAAGAAAACGCAAGTTGATCCTCAAATGACCTTGAAAATAGAGGTCAAGGTCAAAGTCATCATAGGGTAGCTCACTTAAATCCCTACAACTCTTATTCGGATCATTTTCCTTGAAACTTCAATACTGAAGAGCTATTTGGGGTGGGACATTAAAATGGGACACCCTGTATACATAATGGCAGTCAAATATTAGGGGTATACAAAAGTTTCCATCGTTCACATGTAGATGGCATTGTGAATTATTTACATGAAAGTGCATTTTTGTTAGATTATATCAGTATTGGTCAATCTGCGTAGAAACTGATGCATAATAAGTCATATTCATTGACATAAACATATTTAATTCGTATGAAGATGGAAGTCGATAAGACGCATATTCGTCATTGTATGCTTTTTTATTTTATCAGCGTAAAAAAGCTGCCGCAGCAACCAGAACCATTTGCGAAACTCATGGTGAGGGAACGATAGCTGAAAATTTATGAGTGAGTGATTTCGGATCTGTAAAAGTAGCTATTTTGACTTGAAAGACGAGGATCATGCCGGGCGACCGCAAGAGATGAGTTCGAATGACTTGGAAGCGTTATTGCAAGAAAATTCGATTCAATCGAGTGTAGAGCTTGCGAAAAGGTTATATGTTAATCAGAGCACTGTAATTCGACGCTTGCATGAGAAGGGGAAAATTCTGAAGGAAGGAAAATGGGTTTCCTATGAATTACTAATAACCGAGAACGCTATTGCCAGTCGAGTCACCATTTGCCTTTCGCTGCTCAATAGACGCAAACACAAGTCTTTTTCGTATCGAATTGCGACTGAAAGCGAAAAGTGGATTTATTACAATCCTAATCGCAAAAGATCGTGGGTAAATCCTGGAGAACTCTCTACGTCACAGGCAAAACGAAATAACCATGGTCATAAGGTCCTCCTGTGTATCTAGTGGGACATGCAAGGAGTGCTGTATCATGAGCTGTTAAAACCATCTCAGACTACCATCGCGGAATTATACAATCGACAACTGAGGCAGTTGAATGAGCAATTGATCGAGAAATGGCCATATTTTGCGATAAAGAAAACAAAGTGATTCTTCCGCCACGGCATTGCCAGGCCCCATGTTGCATTGACCACCTGGAAACTTTAATGGAATTGCAATAGGAAGTCCTACCACATCCGGCATATTCTTTATATATTGCCCAATCGCATTTTCCCTTATTTCGTTCTGTGCAACAATTCATCGATAACTTTATTCATTCTAAGAGTAAATATTTCTTTTATTCTGGTATCCATCTTTTGTCTGAAGGATGGCAAAAAGTAGCAGATAATGCCGGAAAATATTTTGATTAAAGATATTATGTGATATAATTTATAATAATATTAATAAAAAATATTGTCTTAAAACGATAAAATCTTTTGTATACCCCTAATAGAACAAAACAACTTTCGCGTGGTACACTTTTAGTAATGCTAATACTAAAGCAATACTACAACTTTCAAACCTTGTAGCTCGAAAAGTACTCAATGACAAAATACTTTGTTAATATTTTGAAAAGAACTCAAGGTGAGCTAAAAAAATATGCAATGAAAAATGGAAGTTACCATTTAAGAAATTGAAGATCACTTTCACGTAGTTTTTAAACGGTCCAAAGACAAACCAATGGCGCCATCTTGTTCCTCTCGAAGTCATATAAGACTTTTGTAAGGAACATTTTTTCTAAAACCTCGTGGTTTCCGGAAATTGACTATTTCCAGAAATTAATTTTAAATTAAAATAAAACATCCTGTATATATAACATGTGCGTGACGAAAGATTATCTGTGGCTATTCCGCACTATATTATGTAAATCGTTGATATGTAACTTACAGTTCTAAAGTTTAAATTTAATATATAATTTTATTTAAACATTTTTAGCATTAAACATTGTTATCAAGTGGAAATCTACTTGAGGATTCGTTGGACATAATTTCAAGTATTTCTGCTAAAATTTGTAGCAATCTGACGTTGGACATTTTCGGAAGTTTATCCAAGGTTTTAGCCTCCTTGTTTATTAAAAAGTTGATAATAAAAAAATTCATAAATGAAGCATACTTTTTCGTCACAGTGTACATTACAAATGGTAATCAACACACTCTAATCCACACAACTACCTCCCTGACAAAAACCTAACCTAACCTGATCTAAAGTTAACCTATCCTACATATTTTTGCGTATATATCGTTTTTCAATATAAAAAATATTTTGAAATGGAAAAAGCTTTCAAAATAATTAAAGCTAACAAAATAAATACTTTCAAAGATACTTGAATGGAGCCTTCTCACAATATCCAGCCATGTATAAAAGGTAAAACTGAAAAACCATGTACACAAAGATACATAGAATGGGTTAGGTTAGGCTTTCTTCCCCTCGCGGAGAGGATGCAGAGGCGAGGCGGAGTACCTCTCTCGCGCATATACTGTTTGCCACATGCAATATACACTGTGACGTAAAAGTACGCCTCATTTATGAAACTTTCTTGTTAACTTTTTTAATAAACAATGAGACGACTAAAACCTATCAAAGACTACTCAGAAGAGTCTTCTATAACAAAAGGACTCTAAGAGGATTTTTATAACATATTTCAAGACCACTGAAGGTGGATTTTCTGAACATCAATTTTAGACTGCGTTCGGAAACTTCACCCAGGTGCATTCAGGTACACCTTGCGCCGTTCGGAAACTTTCAGGTAATACCCAAGTGACAACGGTGGAGTCGTTCGGGAACTCTGTCTGGATGTACCTCGAGTGAATGACTTTCTATGAAATTTCAGGGTGGATTCAGGTAAATTGTTACATTTCGCGGGGTTTTTAACTAGTGTTTTCGATTCATTGATTTGGCCCAACTCGGTGTCGTTCTATGTGCGTTTCAAAATGCGTCGAACATGTTCTTATTAATTACTGTCTAGTAGTCACGGTGCAAACTACGATGGCAGTCTGAAAAGTTCTCGGCCTAACAATGAAAGAAATTTTTTTTGTCGTGAAACATGTTTTATTTTTCAATATAATCTCCTGAAACTTCAATACATTTATTCCAACGTTTTTTCCAATAATTCAATACCATCATTAAAGTGTGATTCCGGAAGGTTCTTTTCGCTCTGGTGTATAGTGATGGATCCAAGTTTCATCAACAGTTATGAAACGACGCTTGAAATCCATTTTATTTTGCTTAAACAATCCAAACACGCTTGAGAAATATGCATTCGAATGCGTTTTTGGTCAATTGTTAGCAAATGCGGTACCCATCTTGCACAAAGCTCTTTCAACTGGTGCTACTACTCGAATGATTTGACAAATCGAATAAAATTTTACATAGATTTATATCAGGGTTGCCACTTTCCAATACAATTATAGTTTGACAGTTTTTAATGTCATGTATGTGTCAGGTCGAGAACTTTTCAGACTGCCTACGTACGATAATATTCCGAAATCGTCCGCCATCATTCGCCATTGTCTTGATCTGTTCTCTTCAGCTACACTGTTGCACTGGTGCAGCTAAAAGGTACACAGACCATTTATCATTTCCTATTTACCATTCGGAAACTATTCGCACCCGGCTAGCACCTTGCCCCTATTACCCATTTCTAACCTCAGGGTGAAGTTTCCAAACGTAGCCTTATCATTACTCGATCGCGGAAAAGAGAGAAGAGACTCACCTTCTCGCGGAGCATGTCCCTGACCCTGGTTGCCTGGCTCCTGCTCCTGTGTAGCTCCAGCTGCAGCTCCAGACACCTCTCCTGCCAGTTGAGCTCCTCCACGGTCGTGGTGTAGCCATCGAAGCTCTTGGACGTGGCGTAGCCGGGCCTGACGTCCAGTTTCTCCCTCTTGCTGTCGATGCCGCCGGCCACAGGTCTCTGATCGACGAACAATCGACTGGCTTCATATATCCGTGGCGCCGGTTGCTCCGGCTGCCTGCCGGAGAACGAGAAAGCCCTGTCGAAGTGACCCCTACCGGAGGGTCCGGGATCGAAGTTCGACCTCACCCTGCAGAGGCCGGCAGGGTCATTCGCTTCGTAGCACGCGACGGGCGCGGCCAGGTCTGACTGCGACACGAACGTCCTCTTATCGGTGGCGTATTCCATGTGACCGCTCGACTCGCTCGTGAAGTCGTACGGGGCGCACTTGTCGCTCCGGAGCTCGATGTAGCCGGCGCTCCTGGCGCTTTCGGCGAAGCTCTTGTCCCGCTGGAAGAACAGATTCGGCACGTTGACGTAGGGCGAGTCCCTCGGGTGCATCGACAAGGCGCTGCCGCCGCCGCCGCCGCCTTCGCCGCCACCCGCCACCACCGGGACATTGTTATTGTTATTGTTGTTATTGACGTTGGCCGAGCTGCTGACGGTGCTGGCGACGGTGACGGCGGCGGAGATGACTGTGGTGGCGGCAGCACCGGCGTGTCTAGGTCGTGGCGGTGGCGTAGGTGCCTGTCGAAGCTGTCGCGGCCACAAGCGTGGGCTGTCGGGCCCGCTGGGCGTAGCCGCGGCGACGGCGGCGCCACTCGGGCCCGCTCGGGATGACGCTGGAGCGCCGGCGGCGCTGATCCCGACGGAGCTGCCCCCGGCGGTGGGCCCCGGTTGGCCGGCGGGTCCACTGCTCGCGTCGTGCACGCGGCTACCCAGCCGTGGACTGCACGGCGCCGAGTTGGAGCCGAAGTCGCTGTTGAACCGTGTGATCGGATCGATGATTTGCGACAGCCGGCGAGATGGCGAACCGCGTATCTCGTCCATCCTAGTCGTTGTTCCTGATGATTTGTCGTCGTCGTCGTCCTCGTCGACGCGCTGCTCGCCGCCGATCCTCTATTACGATGCGTCTTGCCCGCTTGCTTCCTACCGAAGGATCCTCAGTGCATCCGGCCGGTGCTCTCCTCCTCGGGCTATCGCGCTCCTGCGACCAACGATCCACTCGATAGCGCTCATAAAGTAGCGGCTGTTCATCCTCGCCATGTTGTTACCTCACACGCTCGTTCGGTCACCGTCGATCGCGACATCGTCCTCGAGCTTGCGCTGCTGCCTGAGAAAGTGTCTTCTTTTGAGCAATGTTACAGAACATCGCCGTCGAATAGGTGTCTTGGATGTTTGTGTGTGCGCGCGTGTGTGTGTACGCGCGACGTAGTAAAGCGGGCACGGATCGACGATATCGTAAAACGGTTTCGGCGAACGGCCGCGAGAATAGCTATTTTTTATGTGAATTGTCGCTGGCGGTCTCCGGTATGAACCGTAGCCTGGCTTTCTTTAATCCCTTATTTGTAGTGCAGCGCTGCTCGACGCGGGACGATGTTTTGTTGTTCGCGTCTTTCTTTTTCAGTTCTGCGCGATCGTGAATATTCGACTGCACCGGAATACAAAACGCGACATAAAGTCGAGTAGCTCGACGAAACGGGAGGAAAGCGCGAAAGCGGAAAGACGCGGCACGCAGGACTGCAAAGTTTATTTTAAGGTCGACGTTAAAAGGAGTCAAATGAAAAACCGGATGGAGGGTGCAGACGAGCAACCGTCCCGTTCTGCAATTACCGCGGACGGGTTAGCCCGCGCGGCTGCATGAAAAATTCCAGTCTTCGCGCGAGCTGCCGCGCAGGAAGTGAATGACGAGCATAAATCGAGGAGTTGATAAAAATAAAAGAAAAAAAAAAAGAAGACCGTGAGCGTCGAAAAATGAAAATTCCTCCGGGGAAGACCGTCTCTGCGAACGATACGTAAAGTGTATCATCGAGACTCGTGGAGAATAAGGGTTTCCGGAAAAACTCTTCGTCAGAGTCTGTCCTTCGTGTCCAGAGGGAATTGTCGATAAATATGCGTAAAAGGATGTGTGATAACTTATAATTCTAAACTCTGAATTCATTTGATAAATTTGAAGTTATATATGTTGTTATTAGTATACATACAGGGTGTCCGGAGAAACGAAAATTTTGAAGATTGATCAAACTGAAAAGAAAAGTCAAACACTATTTTGCAAAAATCTAAATAGTTATTGAGTTATTAATGATTGAAAATCATTAATACACCACATCTCTAGAGGCTCTTTTAACTGATAACTTAAAAATTTGCGTACTTATTTGCAAAATGGTAAAGGACTTTTTTTTTCAGAATGACCTAATCTACAATTATATGACGGGTATTGTGCCTAGCAATAAATATGAATATATTGAATTTTAAAACCTGAATTTTGAATCTGTCGCTAGGTACAATAGCCGTCATATAATTGTAAATTAGGTCATTCTGAACAAAATAGTCTACCATTTCACAAATAAGTGTGCAAATTTTCAAGTTCTATTAAAAGAGCCTTCAGATATGGTCATTTTCAATCATTGATAACTTAATAACTATTGTGATTTTTACAAAATGGTACTTTCCTCCTTAGCTTGATCTGATTAATCTTCACAATTTTTCATTTCTAAAAAATCCCGGACCCTCTGTATATACAAAATACCTCGGAAACTATTACAAGCGACTCTCATATAGTTGTATTATAAAAAGTTACTCGGAATTTCACTTTCCGTAACATATTCAACAATAAAAATAATCAATAAGCTCTGCTAAATAAATTTAAATAAAAGAAGATAAATTTTAACAAATTTAAGTGAAAATTTATTTATTTGTATAAACATTAATCTAACCTAACTTAACTCGGAATAACATGTTGTTAATGATATTGTTACATATATTATTACACATGTTGTTACGTATATATTGTTAATATATAACATGTAACTTCAGACTCATTAATAAGTTCATTATAAATTTCAAATTTAGAATTACAAATTATTATCAGTTAACTTAGCAATAATTGAAATGAACGATAATCTAATCTAACCTAATTCAGACTATAATCTTAACCTAATTCAGACTAATCTTAACCTAATTCAGAATAAAAGTAAACAACTCTAGAAAATGCACAATCCCAATGCTCTTTAGGGTCAAATATCTCCGAAACTACTACAAGCGACCCTCGTATAATTGTATGACAAAAAGTTACTCGGAATTTCACCTCCTGTAATATATCTAAAAATAAAGAAAAAAAATCGATGAGCTCTGCGTTACTTTTCACGTATATTTAGCGAATTATCTTCGCGGGAGATTGACACGTCGCGAGAGTCGTCAAGTGATTGCATTTGTCGTCTTCTTTCGTCGTAACCGACGACATGTCACTCGTGATACAACGCGAGTCCCGACTCGCGAGTCGTGACACGTGACACGCAGTGAATTAATTTTAAACGGTCGCGAGGTCATCCCCAATCTCCTCTCACGGGCTGGCCGTTGATAGTCGGACGCGACCTTTTCTTCATGCGATTTATACCCGAGCGCGCTCTTCAGCCGAGCGGAGAATCTTTCCCCTCCTGAACTCTTCTTCAAGTCACTTCAAGGGACGTTCAAAGGGAACTTTGCGCTCAAACAGCGTTAAAAATCCCACGTGGAGAGAACGCCCCTCCCTCGTGGGAACGTTTAAAACCTGTGCAGGCGGATCAAAACAACTCGCGCTCGAGAGCGCGGCTGAACGCGAACAAAAAGCGAAAAGAAGAGGTAGTTTCGCCGCGAAAAAATCCAACTCTTTCTTCGCAGAATGTCCGATTGTACGACTGCCGCTGCCACGAAACTTCCGTCAAGAGGAAGATATTAAGTCAATCGGAAAGTTCCGTCCCCGTTTTTTGCAAAATGTACGGCTTTATTTAAGAAACAAAATGAAAAAGTACATCAATCAAAATATTGTCCATCATTAGCGATGACTTTCTTCCATTCTTCGGTCAGCAAGCGAACTCCGCGGCGAAAGAATTACTCATCTTTGGAGGCTATCCAGTCAGATACCCATTTTTCGATATCTTCGTAAGAATTGAAGCATTCGTCAGCAAGTGTGTGTGCCATCGACCGAAACAAATGGTACTCGGAAGGGGCATGGGGTATAAGCCGCATAGGGTAACACTTCCCAGTGAAGTGCTTCTAACGTTTCCTTGACAGATTTTGTGACGTGAGGCCGAGCGTTGTCATGAAGCAAAATCACTTTATGCTGTCTCGTTTCATACTCTAATCGTTTTTCGTGCAATGCTCGGCTCAAACGGATCATTTGTTCTCTGTAGAGATCCCCTGTGACTGTTTGACCACTTTTCAACAGCTCATGGTACAACAGCACACCCTTCTGATCCCACCAAATACAGAGTATTGCTTTCTTTCCGTGGATATTCCGCTTTGGCGTCGATGTTGAGGGTTGGCCGGGATCTCAAATAGTTTTTCGACGTTTGGGATTGTCGAAATAAATTCATTTTTCATCTCCAGTGATGATACGATGTAAAAACCCCTTTCTTTGTTGCCTAGCAAGCAGAATTTTGCAGGTGATTTCTCACCTTTCAATGTCTCTTAGCTTCAGTTCATATGGGACCCATTTCCTTCCTTGTAAACTTTCTCTAAGATTTTCAAACGATCGGAAATGACAGATTGAGCACAATTTAATGCTTCTGCAAGTTGCTTCTGCATTTGACATGGGTCTTCGTCCACCAATGCCTACAATTCTTCGTTTCCGAATACTCTTGGCCGTCCAGAACACGCTTTGTTCTCTACATCAAAATCACTACTTTTAAAGCGTCGAAACCATTCTCTGTATGTTTCATCGGAAGGAGCATTATCATCATAAACTTCTACAAGCATTCGATGAACTTCAGCTGCAGTTTTCTTCCAATTGAAACAAAAGATTAACACTTCGCGCAAACGACGCTTATTTGACTCAATTTTCGACATTTTCGATGCAGTGAAAAACAATGTTATTGATGCACACGTATACTTTTATGTACTGAATGTTACTGAATGTTATTGACAGATATCAAGACAAATCATTAAGCTTCGTTTAGACATTAGAGGTTAACAACAGTTCTAGCTATAGCTACTTGCCGCTAGATGGACGGAACTTTCCGATTTACTTGATATATCGGTCGCAGAAACCGCAGGCTCAGAAAAGCTTCGATCAGGCCTGGGGCGGCCGGTATGAAGACATTTCCGGCCGGTCCCCCGTGGCAGCCATGAATAAATTTGAAATTAACTTTCGAACGCGAGCGCGCGCGCGCGCGCGCGATTTCCGCGTTATACGAGGCGCGACGAGAGCCGTCTCGCAATCTTGGAGCTTCTTACAGCGGAGAGACGCCTTTTATATTACGGAGGGTCCGCTCCCGGAATACTCCCTGAGCAAAGTCTCGTCCGAGATTACGAGGAAGACTCTCAACGACGGTGCGGATCGTAAAGCGACACGCGCGTGTTATACACAGCGGATCCAATTGTAATTTAAACAACGTCACTCTACTCCCCCCCACCGAAAAAAAAGAAAACCTCCGAAAAAGGGAGGCGAGCACTTTCTGAAGCCGCCACACTTACGAACGCAGCGGTGATGGTCGATCGTCTGTTGTTAGAGAAGGCTGTTTTGTCATTGCGTAACGAGCGGCGGTCACGAAGCGCGGCGGTCGGTCCGTTCTCGCGTTTTGCATAAATTACGCTTACGTTCTTCTGTCCGGCTCGCGTGCTGGCGCGGCGTTATTGTCGAAATAACGACGCGCGGCGCTGCTGCAGGCGCAGCGAAACAAATAGACCGGCGGCACGTGAGTCGTACGCGAGACGTTCCCACGACGCGGCGCGGGCCGCCGCTGCCGATCGTGCGTGGCTGCGTGCGAATTTCGCCCCGATCCCGCCGCACTCGACTGCTCGTGCCGGCCGGCCGGCGAGTAGGGATGGACGACTTTTATCGATTAGTCGGAAGAACCGATAGTTCATTGTCAATCAATCGATGTTTTCAGATTATTTTATTTTTACTCAATTAATCGAGGTTCGGTGATTTTTTTCTCAACGTCGGCGACCAATTTTTATTTAAAAAAAATTTTTTTTAATTAATTTACTTTAGATTTTTAAACTTTTTTTTTTAAGAGGACATTTTTGTAATATCGTCTTTCAGATACGGTTAACGAAATTCATGAACGTTAAGTCCGGATCTACAATAGGTATAGTAAGCTTTAAGTCTTAAGAAATTGGCCAACCACAGTCAATTATTGTTGTGAAAGTAGGTTAGGATTGGTTAATTTCTTAAGGTTTAAAGTTTCTGTATCTAACGTACAGTCATGGGCAATAGGGTTGTCCGATTTTTATTGATAAGTTTCGGAACGTTGCCGAATGGCTCAATGAGAGCACTTATCTTCCCAAAATTAGTCCTCTTATCACATGGAAAATATATCAAATGAGATGCCGAGTTAAAGAGCTCGCACACTGACGCGATTAGCGACGAACAATAAGCGATATCCAATGAGAATTATTTTAAAGAAGAAATGAAAGTTCTTTCTTCTTAAGACAGAACTCTCATTAGATATCGCTCATAGCACGTCGCTAGCCGCGTCCACTATGCAAGATCCTTTAGGAGGATTTTTAGTAATACTGAGAATACTGCGGGTGTCATTCCATCCTTGTTCAATATTCAGTGAAAAATAAGGATTGAATAACGCCGGCTACATCTATTGCGAATTTAAGAACGTATGCAACATGTAAGCTAAGAGAGCATCGAGTGATGTTTCCGAACGCATCCCTAGTAATGTTTAATCTGATGCTAACCAATTTTGGGAGTACAAATTAGTTCGGTCCGTTTTTTTTGTTAAAAGATGTATTTATTTCAAAACAAAATGAATGAACAGATCAATTAAAGTATTTTCCATCGCTAGCTACTACTTTCTCCCATTTCTCAGGCAATTTTCGAATTCCATCTCGAAAAAATGACTCGTCTTTTGAGGCGATCCAAGTTTGGAGTCAATTTTCAATATCTGCGAAAGAAGTGAACCAGTGATCTGCCAAATCGTGCTGCATCCTTCGGAACAACTAGTAATCAGAAGGAGCAATGTCCGGAGAATACGGCGGATGCGGTAAAACATCCCATTTGAGCGTTTCCAAATATTTTTTTACAACTTTTGCGACATGAGGCCGAGCGTTGTCATGAAGAACGCCTTTCAACATCTCTCGGTTTCAGTTCATAAGGCACCCAATTTCCTTGAATAATTCCCATGTTTCTCAATCGTACGGAAATGGCTTGTTGAGTCACTCCCAATGATTCTGTAAGCTCCTCTTGCGTTTGACTCTTATTCGAGTAATGTCTCTAATTCTTTGTCCTCGAATTTTTTTGGCTGTTCAGAGCGAGGCTTGTCTTCGACGCTGAAATCTCCATCCTTGAAACATCGAAACCACTACATTATTTATCATGTTGGAGCAGCGTCACCATAAAATTCAACAAGCATTCGATGGGCTTCAGTTGCACTTTTCTTCCAATTAAAGCAGAAAATTAAAATCTCCCGCAAATGCTGCTTGGTTAACACAAAATTCGACATTTTCAACATTGTAAAAAGCAAAGTTTTTGTATGAGATTCAAAGCGATATAAACTGAATATTATTGGCAGATGTCTAACCTCTCTGAAACCGCCAAAATCGGCAGTCACTATGAACCATTCATAACAGCCGGAGCCATCTTTTGAAAACGAACCGAACTAATTTGTACACCCAATAAATGTTTACTTTGCAAATTTAATCGATTAATCGGTAAATCGATTCTTTTTTCTTAGAAAATAATCGATGTCATTCAATTTTTTTTTATTAACCGATATTTTAAACATCGATGTAATTTCCGAACACCACCTATCCCTATCGGCGATGCGAAAAATGCGAAACAATTTGCATCATCACATCGTCGACTGTCTCATAACTGAATACAGGCGCACATCGCAGTGATTGGACGCAGTCAGCGAACACAACGGTCGTACAACGCTTGAGTAATTCATTGATATAATTGGTTCAACTTTAGAGATCCAGCAATAAAGACCAATAATTGCTTTGTTCCGTCGAACGCAGCTATATGGAGTTTCTTGAAATATCAAAACTCTCGACTATCCAATCATGGCGACCCGCTGCTCTTCAAATCTCGGTCAAATCCCGATCACGTGACCGCGACAGTTCGAACTCGACTCGCGACTGCTTTGCGTCCGTCGTGTCTTTTTACCCGTCGAAAGTGAGTTCCGCGGGCGAACGGGGGTCGGTTAGGTGTTGAATCGAGCGACGGCCGATTGTCTTGGCGGACGAATCGGCCCGTGCGAGTCTGATTAAACAAAAGCAATGTCGCGTGATACTCGCGTCCAACGTTTGTCGCGTCATCATTGTATGCGGCGTCCAACACGGTTGCTCTTACCGGGCGAAACAAGCGAGGTAAGTTTACGGCTTTGGTCCAATTTAGCGTCGCATCGGACCGAATCCTCGATTGTTGTCGATAAAATGATACGAAGAATCAACCTATGTAGAATTTCGTCATCATCTACGGCTGCGTTCGACCGGTCGACGACGTTCCGAGGCAAGCTGAAATTTTTCGAATGCACTTGCGTACGTGTGGGAGTGCTGAATATAAAATATTGGTCCCGGCGATTGTTCGTTGTTTTGCTTTTTTGTTTTTTTTTTCGATTGTTTGCTTGCTTAACAATAGTTTGTCTGTCAAAAGCCGAGTTTCAGGGGTTTCGCTTCTTAGCGACGGGTCCTAATAAGCTTTGCCGAGATAAGTTTATCTAATCACTTTAATCAGTTCTAAAAACGGATCAAGGTCCATTTGACGCACTTCTCGCCGCCAAAGGTACTCGCAGAGTGACAGTGTAATTGTTCTGAGGGAACACTGAACTCTTTGCAACCTGAGTCGCAAAGGTCTCCACTGGGATTCAATCATGTTGGTTTCTTTGCAAACAAACTCAATGTTGTGGTTCACTTCAATCTCTGATTGTATCCCTTATGTTCAAGTATGTCGTAGGTTAGGTTAAGTTAGGTTTGGTTAGATGTTATGATTCACTTTAATCTGTGATTATATCCCTTATGTTCAAGTATATCGTAGGTTTTCCAGGTTAGGTTAGATCGCTTGAATTGTCAACTTTGCTTGTTCAAGAACTTTTTGCTTTTGGTAGGATCTCGGAAAGTGTCGCGTAGATTCTTAGAACTTCTTGACGTGAAAGTCAAAGAGTGTGTCCAATGTTTGGCAAGCGAAACTCGTTAAGCTTTCGGCTCTCGTTTCACTGTCGGGGCCTGATATTGTACATTTACATCTTTCCCATACTCGAAGAAACGTGCTAGAAAAAGCTCGGTTCGCGGTGACCTTTCGGAAGTACATCCCCACGTCGCGTTAAGCCGTAATCACACCAGCGATTGCCGATTGGATTGCGATTAAAATAGGGCATTGTCTAAACAGCAATCAGTAATCTCAATCGGTGCCTGTTTTGCCATGATTGGTTGAAAAGTAATTGCCAATCGCAATTGCAATCCAATCGGCAATCGCCGGTATAGTGTGATTACTGCTTTACGCGGATCCCGGACTCCGCGGCGCGGGACCCGACGTCAATACGACGCGCGACGGCGCGACGCGCTCCCGCTCCGTCGCGAACCGAACTCGTCGATCTCACGCAACGTTCGTTAAGGGAGGAAGGCTTGTCGCGCGCGTGCGCGCGAGAGAGAGAGAGAGAGAGAGAGAGAAAAAGACAGAGCCGACAAGAAAACACGTCGTCCGTCTGAAAGGCGCGGGACAAAAGATGAATTCGAGACCGATGACCTTTCCCTCTAGGGAGAGAAGACGCGAGAGCGAGAGAGAGAGAGGGGCGGGGAGAGGAAGGGAGAGAGAGGACGGAAGAGAAAGAGAGAGAGACAGAGACAGAGAGAGAGACAGAGAGAGAGAGAGACAAGAGAGCGGGCGAAGAGCGCCGTTAGTCGATCGAGCGGTCGAAAAGACTGTTGAACATTCCGCGCTTGGAAATAACGCGCTTCGGGAATCACCTGGCGATCGACTGGCCTGGCGGTGCCAGTTTTCAAACTCGTTTCCTGCGCGCTCGTGTGCCTCCGCTCTTACGCTCTCCATCGTCCTTTCGCTCCCCTCGCGCGACTCGCGGTGGTCCAATGCACACACACACACACACTCTCTCTCTCTCACTCACTCACTCTCTCTCTCTCTCTCTCTCTCTCTCTCTCTCTCTCTCTCGCTCTCTCTCTCTCTCTCTCCTCGTCCACCCCGTTCGCGCGACTTCTCTGACAACGGGCGACTTTTCCTCCGTCAGAGCGATTCGCACGGAGCTCGGGTTAGACGCATGTCGAAGGGCCAGCCGGTCTGTCTGTCTGTCGGCCGGCGAAACAATCCCGCGACCGTAGAATGACAGCTCGCGCAAGTAGGTCAGGTACCGGAGTGGCGGCCGGAGGGAAGAATGAAACAGAAAGAGAGTGAGAGAGAGAGATGAAATAGTGTGGGTCTCTCTCTCTCTCTCCTTCTCCTTCTCTCTCTCTCTCTCTTTCTCTCTCTCTCTCGCAGTGCCATGAAACAATTCGCAGGCGACTTCTCGGTGAATTGCGATCGCTCGAGCCACCATGTCATGATATCTCACAGATAACGAACGGCCGAGCTCACTCACCTTGCTGCGAGCGGGGCTGAGGTGACGGCCCGTGACAATTTGGAACGGCCGCACTGAACACCCTCCATGCCTACCTCCTGTCGAACACGCACAGGCAGCCACCGTACTCTCCGTGTGTAGCGGCCAGGCGAATGGGGCGGGCAGCGAGGGTCGGAGGGGGCATACGCCTGGTTTTTCGGGACTTCCGCAGCCGGTGGGATGTGCCCGGACGCGCCGTCTTAGACGCAGGCAACGAGCGTCGACACGCACAAAAAGCAGACGGTCACGAAGGGCAGAAAGGCGACAAATGGAAAAATACGAACAGCACTCGCACCGTGGAACGTCGCGTAGCGAAATACGCATGCAAGTCGATCCCGTTCGGCCACGTCCGCCTCGGCTCGGCCGCTGTCGGCGCAACTCGATTCGCGAGCGTGGCGGCGCCGCGCGACGGCCGCGCCAAACTTTTCAACCCGCTGGAAAGCGCGCGCTTTTCGACCATGTTACGCGGCCGGCGTCATTGAGGCTGGCCGTCGTAATGATCCGCTACATTTCTCCAAACCTGTTGAATATTTTATCAAATTAAGAGATCGCTACTCCATAAGGGCTACTAGCTTCTTACAAAACTGACAACATAGCTGACGCTGCGAGAGTAAACGACAAAGTATTCGGCTCATCGCATTCCACCTCACGTGCAACATCTTTTCACTACCACAATGACGCCTGGTTGATGCAAGATAGAAGATGTGTATCGCGTAATTTTAATATATTTCATGCACACACGGTGTGTGACATGTACGATGTCGAGGAACTACATCGAGGTGCATACATGTCACATTTTCAGATGTCATTTCCGACAAAATATTATTAAAAATTAACGGTTATTTTGTACAACTATATCGTGAACTATAGCGTGAACACACACACATAATTATTACATAATTACCGTATAACACAGTAAGAATATTTCCCAAAATTGGGTAATAATGAATTGCAACATTGATCATGATGAATTATAGATTAAAAATGAATTATAGGTTAGGCTCACTCAGAAAAAGATATTTAAAAAATATTTTTGAAAATATTGGAAAAACATTTAAATGACATTTTCAAAACGTTAAAAATAATTTTGAACGAGTTATTAATGTAAAATAAATATTAAATAAACATTAAATAAACGTTAAGTAAATATTTCTTCTTTATCATTATTTTAAATAAAGAATCAATGTAAAATATATATTAAATAAACGTTAAATAAATATTTTTTTGTATATTGAATGGAAGAAATGTAAAAAAAAATGTAAAATAAATATTCGAAAAATGTTAAAAAATATTGTCTTCTGATTGGGTGCGTATTTATCTACGACGACCGAGACCGTTGGTAATGTCAATGTTCTCCAATGATCGCGTATCTCGAAGAATTGGTCGAGTTTAGCAGAGAAAGCCACTGTTGTGCCACTGTTATAAGGTTCTCGAATCTCACTAGTGAGTGTTCTTAGATTCAGCCGAGATTAAAAGTATACATCAGTGAAATTCGCAAAATTTTCCAACAATTGCGAAGCAGCTTTCTCTGTCGAACACAGCCGTTGATGACGACGAAATTCTATACGGTCCGATTCTTTGTATCATTTTATCAACAGCAATCGAGAATTCGGTCCGATGTGGCGCTAAATTGGACCAAAGCCGTAAACTTACCTCGCTTGTTTCGCCCGGTAAGAGCAACCGTGTTGGACGCCGCATACAATGATGACGCGACAAACGTTGGACGCGAGTATCACGCGACATTGCTTTTGTTTAATCAGACTCGCACAGGCCGATTCGTCCGCCAAGACAATCGGCTGTCGCTCGATTCGACACCTAACCGACCCCCGTTCGCCCGCGGAACTCACTTTCGACGGGTGAAAAGACGCGACGGACGCAAAGCAGTCGCGAGTCGAGTTCGAACTGTCGCGGTCACGTGATCGGGATTTGAACGAGATTTGAAGAGCAGCGGGTCGCCGTGATTGGACAGCGCGTCGAGAGTTTCGAGATACTTCTAGAGACTCCATCTAGCTGCGTTCGGCGGAGCAAAGCAATTATTGGTCTTTACTGCTGCATCTTTAAAGTTGAACCAATTGTATCAATGAATTACTCAAGCGTTATACGACTGTTGTGTTCGCTGCCCGCGATGTTCAATCATTGCGATGTGCGCCTGTATTCAGTTATCAAACAGATCGACGACGTGACGATGCACTTTGGAGGAGTCGTTTCACATTTTTCGCGTCGCCGATTTGCCGGAGGCAGGACTCGTGCGTAGATTGCCGAAAACCTCGTCGGGTGATCATCGAAAATCGATATCTTGCGAAGCAAGTAGTCGCGCGTATGTTGCACGTTTGGCAGCTGAGAATTCAAACCGTTGCCCTTTCTATCTCTGAGGTCGGCGGAGCATCGAGCGCGCGAAATATCGTCGGCGGTGACGGAAGTGAGTGTTTTCGTGTGTTTGTCGTGGCGGAAGATCGCGTCGAAGTCGCTGAGAGCCGCGTGTCGTGAAACTAACGATTGAAAGTTCCGATGGCCGTTGCTTCTCGCGATTTTAATACGCCACGCGAAGTATCGTCGGCAGTGAGTTTTGTGCGCGTCGTGTTGTGGGAGATTCGTTAAAAGGCTTCCGGAAGCGAGCAAATGGTTGTCGAAAGGATAGACTGGAGTTCCGCGTCTTCGTCGGGTGTACCAGCTGGTGCTGGAGTCGCGGTGAATTTATCGAGCCGCCGAAGGAAAAATCGGTACGAATGCCATTTATATTATTTTTCTCATTGTTACTCTCGAAATCTGTCCATCTTGCGTTTGAAGCGTGTGTTTCTCGCGATATCAGCGCGACGCTTGTTTGACATGTGTGATTTGACGTGTGCATGTGTGCGTGTACATTGTTTAGTATAATATGTATATTTATTAATATTATAAAATACGCTTATATACAATAAACTGCAATCGCATAATGGATTCAACATTGTAAGGCTGCGTATTTCTCGCATGCTAAAATTTGTAGCAATTTGTCCTTGTACGTTGGATCTAAAATTTCCACCAATTTTCTTTCGATTGTCGGCACGTTGCTCATGTAACCGCGAACAATGCCTCTGAAGGATATTGTGGCAAAGTTAGTGTCTAAACGGCAATTTATCCATCTGACAGCATCTAGGGGTAATACACTGTCAATGGAGTATCGTTGTGCTATTGACCTTGTTAGATCGTAGCACATTTCTGATATCCTTACAGGTTCAAAGACATCGTAATTTCTACACTTGTTGAAGACCTAATGGTAAAAGTTGATAATTTTAATAATGGGGCACTTGAATATCTTTTTATTGTATTTTTCTGTGCGAATTTTGAGATTGTTCATTCTACTGAAATATTTTATGACGAAAATAACAACGTTAAAATAAAAAATTAAAATAATACATTAATAATATAGTATAATAAAATTATATAAATTAAATTATCATTAATAAAATAACGAGAAATTGAAATAACTAAAAAAATAAAAAAATAAAAAAAAAACTAAACAAATAAGAATGTATTTATACTTAAGATACTCTTTCAGCTTAACTTTTTTCTCTGTCTGTTGTATCTTTTTAGAAGGCAAAGATATTTGAAACATTTTTTTTAGATAATCGCAAGATACTCTTTGCATTCTCTATTGGTCACTTACGTCGGTTTCATCCATTTCGTAGTCTGCATCTCCTAGTAATGAAACACTCCAGTAAAATAGAGCACTGATTGCTATTTCAGGATACTTTTCAGCAACCGTGTTGTTGAATTTTCGGAAGAATATCGGTAAAGTTTTCTCTATACACTCCAGTTCGTTGGACGGTTCAATGCAGCAAATTAGTTTGCACGCTTCGCGCCGAATATCCACATTATCGTCGACTAATAACTGCAATACCACTGTCCACCAATCCAACACGGGATCTGTAAAAATATCCTTCCATTACAGATTGTTATTTTGATTAAATTTCATTAAACCGCAAGGTGTCTTATTTTAAATGAGCCAGACAAAAATCTCGAAAAATATGAAAGATACTAAGAAACGTTCCAGACAAAAGTTGTTCAAATTAATTGGTAGAAAGAAATGATATAATAATAAAAAATTGCGATTTCCATTTAAGAAAAGTAATGATCGGTGGATATCTCGAAAGTGGCGTCATCTGTAAACAAAATGATACAGTTATTTTATGTCGCCTTTAAAACCATACAACTTTTATCTTTTTCTTAGTATCTTTCACATTTTTCGAGATCTTTGTCGGGTTCATTTAAAATAGGACACCCTGTACAATAACTATTGATTTAAACATACGGCATTGCTCGGTATCAATGTCGTATTCAGTGAAAAGACTGCAGAGTATATCGAAAACGGACGATCTGAAATCTTTGGACAATGTACCAATCCAGTCGTTGTCGCAGACTTTTCTGTAGATATCCTCTTTGTATTCCATTTCGAGTTCTTTATCCTTAAAGCAGAGACGTTAACATGTGGCACACGGATGGTTGAGAAATAAGGGGGAAACAAAAGTATAAAAATATGAGCAAACCGTCAATTTACGAATCAATGTCGCCATACATTTCCCAAGCAACCGTAAGTAATTAACACGTTGCAAATGAACGCTGTTCGTGTAGTGCGAATGCATTTTCTGCAAGACCAAGGTGCAGAGTTCACGTCTTTTGCAATAAGCATTAGCGGCAAACCATTCGTCCGCATTCACCAGACAGTTGTATAAGAAATCGAAAAGTGCATCTTGCACATCGGGATTGTGTTTATATAAATGTTCGGTGATATCGGTAGCTACACGAATAGCGTAATTCCCCAGTAACATCCTTTGCTCACTTTCTCGCTGTCTGGTTAGTATTTCGGAAACAGTGCTCCAAGCGATACGCTGTACTTCGGCTTCCGGTGTGATCAAGAGCCGCGAATATATCTCAAACGCTCTGCTCTGTCTATTGTGTACTGTTTGCAAGAAATTGGAATGTTGCCCAACGCTCAGTATTAGCTTGATTACGGACACTTTGTACATTTGTTCACCTGGCCATGGCTGCTCTGGTTTTGACGGATTCTTTTCCGTCAAACACCGCTGAAGTGTGTGCAATACATTCCTCATTATGCAACTGTCTATGCTAAAATATAAAAAGATACGACTTGGATAAGTTTGTTCAACGTGCTCAATTTGTGTATAAAAATAAAACAGCTCATAGTTGTAATGAGACAATTATCTCACATGTCTTTCTCCGCTTTATACAATTCATGAAGGACGTCGACGTATACGGTAGCTATTGGGAAAGTATTGAACCTATCAGGTCTTGCGTCCAGAAGGCTTGATATAACATGTAATGCGGAGGAGAGATTTGTCGTTTTACACGATTTAAGAAGCGCTCCGTTAGACGTGAATTTCCTCAAAATTTTGAGCACCTATAGACATATAATATTATAAGTATACACAGACTTAATAATTATAAGTACAGACAGAGGGAGGATTAACAAATTGGGGACTAATTTCTAATGATACAACTCACACATCCTATTTCAGGTATCGCAAATTTAATCTTGATTTTTATAACACTCCTTATACTCAATCACTAATTACTATTTTTACACATGGCTCTTTGTGATTATTTTAATGTTTAAAGTATGCTGTAGTAATTGATAAATTTTGTTGCACTTGCCTGTAACAGGTAGCCGTGAATTAGATTCGCCGAAGCTTGAATATCTCCAATTGCTTGTAAAATTAGTAGAAACAAATTTTCCAAAGTGCCATCGACTGTACTTTCAGTTAGCAACGGCACCAGTGCTCTAGCCGCAAGCTCGCGTGTTTGATATACGGGACTTTTAGCGCACTGCAATACTAAATTACGCAATTCATCTGTCTGGAAACATATGTACACACACACACCATGTCATATAGAGTATAGAGTATTTTAAATAAGCCAGGCGAAAATGTCGGGAAATATGAAAGATACTAAGAAACATCTCAGACAAAAGTTGTATGGTTTCAAAGGGGATATAAAACAACCATCATTTTGTTTATAGATGGCACCACTTTCGAGATATTTACTGATCATTACTTTTCCTAAATCCAAACCCCAATTTTTTATTATATTATATTTTTCTACCAATTAATTTTAACAATTTTTGTTTGAAACATTTTTTTATTTGCCTAATATTTCTTGAGATATTTAAAGAAAAATTGATAACTTTTTCAATATTTAACTTACGATATCTCACTATTTGTCGGAAAAAAATGACACCAGACTTTCTTACACTATTTAGTCTCAAAAATATATTGTTATAATAGTGCCCTAACTTTTGTTAACTTACCGATTTTTGGAAATTTCAAAATCAAATTAACAAAAGTCAGGGCGCTATTGTATATATTTTTGAGAATAAATAGAATAAAAAATTCTAGTACTATTTTTTCTTTCGATAAATAGTTAAAGAGATATCGTAAGTTAAATGTTAAAAAAATTACTAAGTTTTCCTTAAATATTTCAAAAAATATCAGGCAAATGTTTCAGACAAAAGTTGTTCAAATTAATTAGTAGAAAAAGATGATGTAATAAAAAGTTGGGATTTCCATTTAAAAAAATTGATGATCAGTGAATATCTAAAAAATGGTGCTATCTGTAAACAAAATGATATAGTTGTTTTATGTCCTCCTTGAAACTATATCATTTTTGTCTGAAACGTTTCTTAGTATCTTTCATATTTTTTGAGATTTTTGTCTGGATTATTTAAAATGAGACACCCCGTATATTATTCTGTCTTTTAGCTGAAAAAAGCTGAGATAAATTTTCTAAATTTGGAGATTGTTTACATTATTCATAAGTACCTTCCAAGTGATATCCGCTTCGTGAGAATTATTAATATATAATCGTGACAGCAACAATAAAATAGCTTGCACGTTTGACTTTATCATAGTATCGTTGGTTGATATGAAAGTCCGCAATTCGTCCAGGATAAAAGGCAACAGGCTAGGATATTTTTCGAAAAATAATCTCCCTGTCATCGTATTGCAAGTCGTTAGATTAATGTGATCCTTGGTTCTTTGAACACCAAATATTCGAACAATAAGTGCACTAAATAATAACGTGGCTGCGTTACGTTCCTGTTTTGATTGAAAATTGTAGATCGAAGTTTATATTTGAAAGTTATTTTTTGTATGAACAGAGGTGGCTTCCCACATAGCACGTAATATTACGTAATATTACGTGCTATATGGGTTATTTTAATTTATCCACTCAAATATCCCGAAAAATATAAAAGATATGGAAAAACATTTTAGACAAAAGTTGTTTGGTTTGAAGAGGACATAAACAATGATATCATTTTGTTCACAGATGGCGCCACTTTCGACATGTTTAATGATCACTTTTTTTTAATGGAAATTCCAATTTTTTATTATATCATCTTTTTCTACCAACTAATTTGAACAACTTTTGTCTGCAACATTTTTTTATTTGCTTAATATTTTCTGAGATATTTAAGAAAAATTTAGTAATTTTTCAAGATTTAGCTTACGATATCTCGGAAACTACTTGTTGGAAGAAAAAGTGATATTCGACTTTTTTAATCTATTTGGTCTCAAGAATATACTGTGGACCTTCGGAAATTTCAAAATCATCAAGTTAACGAAAGTTAGGATACCGTTGTATATTCTTGAGACCAACTAGAGTAAAGAAGTCCATTTAGTAGTACCATTTTTTCTTCCAACGAATAATTACCGAGATATCGTAAACAAAATCTTGAAAAAAATACCAAGTTTTCTTTAAATATAAAAAAATATTAGTCAAATAAAAAAATGTTGCAGACAATAGATATTCAAATTAATTGGTAGGAATAGATGATGTAATAAAAAGATTGGGTTTCCATTTTCCACAAAGCAAAGCAATAATCAGTAAATATCTCAAAAATGGCGCAATCTGCAAATAAAATATCGCTGTCTTAAACCTCTTTCAAACCAAACAACTTTTGTCTGAAACATTTTTTCATGTTTTATATTTTTTGACATATTTGAGTGAATACGTTAAAATGAACCATCCTGTATATATTAATTAGGGTATTATTGATAGCCTTTATGGACATAGAATATAGCATGACTTACTGCCCACGTTTTACTATCGTAGTTTTTAAACGCCACTATCAAACCGTCTGCGATATAATTTTTAACCAAATCGCCAAGCTGGGAGTGTCTGAATAGGGCTCGAAGAATATTCATAGAATGAGTCTTTATCTCGGTAACATCAGCTTTAATTTCCCCATTATGATATTCGTTTCTGTTTTCCATTTTCGACTCTATTATATGTTTGTAATAAGAAAATATCGAATCTTCGTACATTATGCATTTTACTCTCTCCCATAAATCAACAGTATCCTCAAACTTTGTAAATTGTAGTAAGATCTTCATAACCGAATGAAAGAATTGCCCCTTTGAATAGTCTCTGGTCTTTAGTGACGAAGATAGCACTGCCTATAAGTTTCAAAAATAAGAGTAAAATTAAGAGTAAAGTATAACTTGTCAAGTTTTTTTCTATACAATAAGATTTCGTCTTTTATTTTCTTTTTTTTTTAATACCTGCATCAGAAACGGAACACCAGCGCTTCTTCTTGTCGCGCATAATTTTGAATATCCTGGTATTAGTCCCGTGATGCCTATCAAGGTATCGTGCAAGCATTGTATAGGAAGTATATTCAAAGTTGTACCTGTCAGTTGCCACAATCGCATACATAGTTGATGGAAGCCTACATACACCTGCTCGAACGCACCTCGATGCTTCGTTTCGCACAATAACGAGACAAGATGTCTCATTATTTGTTCAATCTGTTAACATACGACAGTATTACGTTAAGCGAAGACGTATTTCATTCATACATGTGGGGATTATCTTACTTGTTCCTTCGTAAGCAATCCATTCTCAGATTCGCTCGTTTGTATTGACGCCTCGGTGGCGAACAGACCAAACAAGTGACTAACTTCCTTGACAGTACGCCAGGAACAAAGTAATATCATCTGCGGCGTTACAATCTCTTTCTCGGGAAATGACGTATCATTGTTGAGGTTCAATGTTTTCAAGTCCATTGGTAAATGGCCTTCCGGTGAGGAGTTATTTACTACTATGGAAATGGTGTGATTTAGTTCGAAGCACAATAAAATGATATTTGCTATTGCACTTTGCCATAATTTGTCCTTTCCTGCATTTCTAAAAGAGGACAATAGCATATTTAGTTAGAGAATTAATTTTTTTCTTTTAATTAATTAACATACACAACAAGTTTTCTTCCATACCTCAAGTCGCAATCGCAGAGTAAACTTCTCATGCAAAATAGATATCCATACAGAGAACATTTAACGATTGCCATTCCAATATTCTGCCTTGCTAAAACCAATGCCTCCTAAAGAAAAATACAGACAACATATTCTTTACGCTGTAAACGTGTAATTTTAAAGCAAAAACTATATGCAAACTTACTTGAAATTTTCTGTACAACAGTAAGACTAAATGTAGTGCCACTGTCTCTGTAATATTGTCATCCATATTATAATAGTCACAGAGAACATTCTTTATAACAGGAGATAGCATAGATATCTTTAACATGTATGCAGCTGTAACACTGTCAATGGGTCGTATACTGTTACCCAGTTCAAGTGCAACTTCAATTATTAATTGCACTTGCAATTTTGAATCTAAGCATAAGAGGCTTGGATCTACATATTTTAGTAACTGATATGCCATCTCTTTATTAGGTTCATATGTGTCCAGCAGTAAGCACTGAAATATTGTTTCTACTTGTCCCTTCCTCCACTCGATATTTTTAAGTTCGTTGGAGAGGATATCTTGTGCGAGCAAAAGTATTTGTAAGCTGGAACGTCTACGATGGTATGTTGCATCGGGATATAAATTGTTCACACATATTTCACGTAGATTTATAAGAAACATGGTATAATCATTTATATTACGTTCAATTTGTTTGGATGTTTCACTAGATAAATCATTTTCACACATTTTAGAACCAATATTTTGTTTGTCGTAATTTTCCATTTTTACTTTTTGTATCCATTGTCTTTGCAACACAGCCAAACTATCTCTTAGTCGTTTTAAGGCCTGTAAGAAATGATGAAAACATAATTAAACTGAAATTTTAATAAGAAAGATGGCACTAATATTCTTTTTTACTTTTTTAATCAAGGGTATATATTCCATTTTCTCACAAAGGTTGTACTTTAGAAATAACAAAATCATATCAAGTTCTTTGGATGTAAATCGTAATGTACTTTTCTTTGATTCCACCAAAAGGGCCAGTATTTCCAATCTACACTGTATAAAACACAGAAAAATATGTTAAATAATTTGATTTTAGCTTTTATATGTGTTTCTAATATATATTTTAATGATAAATGTTATTTATAAAATAAATACAGTAAAACACTCGATGCAACAGATATTTATAAAATAAAATAAATTGTTGGGATTAATTTTTTTACTTCTTCGCTGTAATGTCCGACACATGTTTCTAAAACACAATATTTCAAAGTGTTTCGCCATTTGAGAGTCTGTTGAACAAAATTTTCACCGATATCCAATGTGCCATTTTGCTTTAGTTTTCTCAAATTACTTAAATAATGGCTTGAATAAGTATTTTCTTCATTTTCATTTATCTCTTCCATTGTTTATACACGCAACAAATGACGTTTTTATTTATTATATTGAGGCAACAAGAGACGGTATTATTCTAGGTTAGTTTCGTTTCATAGTAAAGTTGTATACTGCTGTCAGGCACGTGGTAGAGAGATAGTGGGGAGGGGGAGAGAGAGAATTATCAGGTGTTCATAACTTCAGGTCTGTTCTTTTTATTATATTCTGTTCTTTTAGAGCGAAATAAATATGGCTGTTAATTCTCAACAAAGACATGTTGTATCACACAAAGTTTCAATTTATTGGCTACTAGTATTTAGTATTCATTTTAGTATATTCATATATTATAATATTTTATCAGCTTAGCATTATTTTTATTGGCTACAGATCATTTAAAATATCATCTAAAAGCCTGATGTCCAGTGAAATTTTGTTTCTGAATAATTATCACATGATAGCTTTTTTTATTGGACATTGGCTGTGCGTTCTGAACCGTATAGAAGGGAGAATATTTAAATTATTTTGAAACCGAGTATACACACGCGGGTTTGATATACTACAGCGCATACAATTGTCTTGTGGAATGAGCTTTATTCATTCTTCACTTGATTTAGCGCGATCTAGCGGTGTGTTTTTAACGATACTCGCTATCTATTAACGAACTACCTTGTCGGTGTCGACATCTGGCTCGCAATTGTAAGGCCTTATACACGTTATATCTCATACCGATCATGTGTATTATAAATGGGGAATAAAGCTAAACGAGTTTTTACTAAAAAAGAAAAACACTTTTTAAATAAATCTTATTACGCGTTCAAACGTTTCAGGAAGTAAACTCGATCTCATAAGACATCGATTAGCTCAAATATAAAGCAATCAATTGTTCCGTCAAGTTACACGAAATAAAATCTCTGCTGGGAAGTAAAAAGAGTAAAAACCCGGAGTGTGTTTCTTCATATTAATCTTCAATAAATCCTTGATGTATTCGATCGATTCGTTTCCTCGCTCGTACAATCCGGAAACTTCGTCCTTGTTCCTGAATTACTCGTGAGAAACCACGTCGCGTGACTTTCTCGAGTGCACACACGTGATCAATAAAGATAAATATCAGCGCAGAGTCCACACGGCTGTTACTCTTATTTGGCTGCGTTGAAATCGCTCCTCGTTGCCGCCGCGAGTGATAAGCGAGCGCGATATGAGGCAATGTGTAAAATGCTCCGAGTCGCAGGCGCTTACACCGGCCAGCTCCCTCCCGCGAGATACAACCTGCCTGCGCTCACATTTGTTCTAGCGACGAGCTTATCTGAGCAGTATACGTTACACATATCTCCGCTTCGCGCCCAGACGAATGGGTGTCACTAAATTTAAAAGGCATCTCCGCTGCGACACTCTCCGCTGCCTTGCGCTTCGCCCGACGGCCGAAATCCCCGACCATTACTTGACTCCTACGCGAAAAAAATCTCTTCCCGCCATTTTATCTCATACTATTAGGTAGCCGAAAAGACGGTTTTGTATATTAAAAATTAAACAAAGGCTGAAATTTTCGGAAAGAAATATTAGGGATACGCAAAAGTTTCCGTTGTTCATGTATAGATGGCATTGTGAATTATTTACATGAGAGTTTCCACAGAAAAGATTTCCTACGTTGTTTGTTTAACAGATTCAAACACTTCATGACACGCTCATCGTTGTTCCTCTGACTCAGTTCATGTGGCACCCATTTACCTTCTTTGTGAATCTTTCCCATTGCGTGTAGACGATTAGAAATGGTTTGTTGAGTTATTTCCACTTGTTCAGCGAGTTCTTTTTGCATTTGCGCGGAGTTTTCATTCAATCAAGTAATGCTTGCAATTGCTTATGTTCAACCTTCTGCGGGGCGTCGCTACGTTCCCGATCGCTAACCTAAAAATCACCAGCTTTAAACCGCCTGAACCAAAATTCGCATGTGCTTTTCGATACAGCATTCTTCCCAAGAACAGAATATATCGATGCACATGCTTTTGCAGCACTTTTCCCTTGGTGAAATTCGTAACGAATACAGCGACGAATAAATGCTTTGTCGCTTGCCATCTTTCACCGACCGAAGGTTTAACCCTTTGAGGCATAGTGGTAAGTATACTTACCACCTATTTGTTCTCACATTTTCATGAAATATTTCATATTTGAGGGATTCTTATCGGGTTTCTTGCGTTTCTTAGCTTCTTATATGATATGGGAACGTACATGAAAAGTTGAAAAGTGTTTTGCATAAGTTGTCCATTTATTATAAATAAAGAAAGTGTGAAAAATACACTCTGGTTAGTTTTTGAGGTCGCCGATTACGAATCTGAGGTTCACATTCAAAAATTCATTTTCCAAGATGACGGATCATAAAATTTTTATATGATTAGCTGAAATTGTACTTTAGTTAGCTTTGGTTAGCAAGATCGCTGATTATCCGAATCCGAGGTCCAAAACTCATTGTCACCGAAATTATCGCGATTTTTTATATTGTGGCCGCCATTTTGAATTTTGAAAATCTGATAACGGATTCGTAATCGGCGACTCCAAAAACCCTAGAATACCCATTGTCACCGAAATTATCGCGATTTTTCATCTTTGCGTCCGCCATCTTGGTTCCGCCATCTTGAATTTCGAAAATCTGATAACGGATTCGTCATCAGTCAGAAACTCCTGTATATAAATTTTCATATAATTCGGATTTCCTGAAAAATACGTGCCTCAAAGGGTTAAGAACATTTGAATGCTGAGCCAACTTCTGCGTCGCTTTTATTATTCTGGATCAGTTACAGTCACGTGACAAAACCGCGGGAGAATTTCTGATCTGTAAGCCAGCAATATACGTCACATAAAAAACGCTTTAAAACTTATTTGTACACCTAATATTTGTTCAACTTATCAAGAACTCCAGAACTATTAAAAAGGAAGGCAGAACTCTCAATAATTTGTGATTTTCCGCAAAATGATATCCGCCAACTTCACACACACACACACACACACACACACACCTTGTTGTTAAATACGAGGTCAAGCACGACGTAATGTCCTCGTTAACGTACGCACCGCGGGAAAAGATGGATCTCCAGGAGTTACGTGAGAAAACCGTAGTCTTTCTCGTTATTTTAATGACGCGTCATCGTGGGAAGGATCCCAGTATATTTCCGACTATTCTCCGCGGCTGTAGTTTCTCTCGGCGTGCCGCCGCCTTTAACCGAAAATGCGGCCACGCGATTTCCATGGGAACAGCCGCTCCTTTGCTGCGTAATTAATTGTCATTCAAATTAGCCACCGCTTCTTTTACTCTCGCTTGCGAGCACGAGCGAGATTCACCGACGAATTTATGAACCGTTCTTCTCGGGGTGCTCCTCGACGATTACGTCCGCCGTAACATCCTCGGCCGGCGAAAAGCTTGGAACTTCTCCCAGTGAAGTCGCAAGTTCCTCGGCAGAATTTCTTTGAATCATGTACTTCCCGCGATGCTCCTGTTCCTTGCTTGCAAACATTCGTTTCTACACACAGAGAATTATTCGGTTGACATAATGCAATTTCGGTTGCACGACAACCGAAACCTTCCGCTCCTCGAGAATCAACCGGAAATTCGGTTGCAACGCAAGAGCAATTCCGTTTCTACAATATCGGCCTTTAAGCATAACTTGGAAACACATCACCTTTAAGCATAACTTGGTTTAACCCTTTAAACTTGGTCCATTCAACTTTCTCAAACGAAACTTTTCGCTGAACTGAGATTTCGTTTCTCTTCACATACAACCTATTTGATAAGAGCATGTCCCGCAGAACTCGATGAACAATTTGTTCATTTGACCTGGACATTCCTTGTCTTTCACGTCAAAATCACCACCTTTGAATCGTCGAAACCAATCCCTATATGTTGTTTCTGACGGAGAAGAGTCACCATAAGTTTCCACTAATATTCGATGGCTTCAGCTGCAGTTTTTTTCATATCAAAATAGTGGAGAAGAATATATCAAAAAAGCAACTTGCGTTCCATTTTGAATTGATTTAAAAACAACATCACCGCTTGCAAAAGTAAACCTTAGTGGACTGAATTGTATTGAAAAACATCTAACCTTTAATGTAGCATGAGTTCCAGCTGTCAGTTCACTGTATTTGCAGCTGGAGCTATTTAAATGCGAACAACGAAAATTGACCGAAACACCGAATATTTTAATAAGAAAATGAATTAATACATTAATCAAAATTTATTTCCTATCATTTTCTATTACTTTTCCCCATCTTTCTGGCAAGAGTTCGATTCCGCGACGATTCCGCGAACGAGCTGTCTTTTGAAGCAAGCCATTCTCGGACTTCTTCGTAATTCGTTCGCGAACGCGTGTTGCATCGATCAGAAAGGGTGGTAATCCTATGGGGCCAAGTCTGAAGAATAGGGTACGGGAGAACTTCTCCTTCGAGTTCCCCAACAGTATTTCCTTTATGGCTCTTGCAATATGTGGTTGCGCGTAGTCACGCAAAAGAAACGCACTTTTTGCGTCAATTACTGGCTACTGACAGTTTGTTTCGCATCAATTTATCGTTCAATTGGTACAATTATTGTTAGTAGTGATCAGCTGTGACTGTTTTGTTCGGCAGTAGCTTGTAATAAAGCACATTTTCCTGGTCCCACCAAATACAGAGCAATGCCTTATAACCATGAATATTCCATTTCGGCGTTGATATGGATGGTTAGCTGAGATCCACCTACGATTTTCTCCGCTTGGGGTTATTGAAATAAATCCACTTTTTATCGTCAGTCACAATGCGCCACAAGAAACTTACTTTTCTCTGGCAAGCGAGGAAATCGCGATGGACAAACGACTCAAGATGACATTTTTGGACAACTGCGGCAACCATCTTCCTTCCTTTTGGATTTTTTCCATAGCGCGTAAACGCATAGAAACAGCCATTGGAGTAACATTTAACACTTTCAGCAATTCTTCCAGTGTTTGAGCTTGGTTTTCATCCACTAATGTTTGCAATTCGGCAAGCTCAAACTTTTTCGGCTGTCTGGAACATTTTTTGTCTTCCATACTGAAATCACCACGTTTGAATCGCTTAAACCACTCTCTACATGTTCTTTCTGATGGAGCTTGTTCACCACAAGTTCCAGAA